ACTAAAAGCTAACTAAAGCATGATCAGTTTTTACCACCATATCTACATACRATGAATTGAGCCTAAATAAAAGGGCAAACCTTATTGTTTTACACTTCATACATTTATTATCATAAGGTGTACAGAACAAAAAGTACCTGTGCAATGTTGAGCTGAGCTAAAAGTTCATTATTTTTGCGAATGTTCTCAATCCTTTTTCTTTCATATTCGGAGACTGTGGTTGTAACAGTTTTATGCTGAAATATAAGAGGATACATGTACAGCTGTGAGTTAAGATACATTTCTTGAGATCATTTTAAATTCGCCAGCTTTAATGTACCAAATGCTTCCTGTATACTACCGATCGCTTGATTTGTACTCATTACTTAGTGAAATTTCAGTTCTATTTATCAAATCGAAGCCTTAGAATCTCCTGAGATACGTTGGAAATCACTAAATACTTTGACAAAACATTTCAATACAATAAGCTAAAATATTTTGAAGTGCAAGAGGGAAGACCTCCAAATGAACGTTTGTGCTGTAACGCGCGCTTGATTCAAACTTACCTCGATTTTAGGACGTTTTATTTGTGAAGCACTTGGGGATTTACCTTTTCCTTTTCGTTTAGGCATAATAAATCAACAAACTTTATATGTATTGAAGTGGAAACCATAAACTCTTACATAACTTGTACAAGGTTTTTTCGCACCACTCAAACCAAGAACCGAAAATTTTGTATATACCCTCCCCTCCCTGACGAGTTTTATTTATCTCAAGAAAAGTCCGATGCTATTATCAATATTTGTGAAAACTTTAAGAAAAAGAACAAAGCAAAATACTTAAGTTCGTAATTTTCTTGAATAAATTTGTTCAAAAATCGGATTTAGAATTTTTTTTTCCATTTTAGCTGATAAGTAACCCTCTCCTCCCCTATCAATGTAAGTTTGTTGTCATGATCACGAGGCCGAAGGAAGCTTCAGTGTTGCTGTGTTTATTAGCGACGGATTGAACAATAGAGTTTTACGAGATAATAACTGTTTTCCTTGAGAAAAACATAAAATAGTGAYTCATTTTAATCGTTTTTAATCTTTGACGTCCTTCTTAGTAGTTTTATGAACACAGAAGAAAAAAATGGCGCTTTTATCGCGTGATCATCGTTCATTTCGTGAGTTGTATTTACCAAAATGAAGTCATAAAGAGACTTTCAATCTTCTTTCCATCCAGATGGTTTTTATGATGCAGTAGCTACCGATTCAACAAACATGCAAAGCTCTGAAGGTGTTAGGAATCTTCTTCAAGATACACACTTGTTGGATCGTTCAAGGCCGTCCAGTTCGTTTGGTTTGAGAAGCAAACCTACCAGACCTATTCGTCCAATCTCAGGTAATTATGCCAAGCTTGTTGTTGTAGATTTACGTGTAATGTCTAGTTCTGTCGATCATAACCCTTTATTTGTGTCGTGACGCTGATGGCTTCATAATGTAGTGTTTATATCTACGATACTAAAGCTAGGCCTTTAACCTCAGCTTGTAGATATAAAAATTTAAAATTATACACACAGCTCATAATCTAGATAGTATACTTTTAGTTACAAATTTAATCGTTTTGGTATTATAGCTCAGTCACAGTATAATCTCTTTTATAGTTCAGTTGCTAAGGCTTTAAAAAGGTTCCATTTACCTAGGTCACGACTCATCTTACTTTCCATTTGGGGGAAGACAGTGAATATGGTGATTTTGACGCCCCTACCCCCCTCCCTTCCACCTCTCAATCCTCGATCTCCACACTTACAAAAATGTAGACAGAAAACAAGCAATTAATGTCTTGTCTTTTTATAAAATCAAAGCTCATGACACAATCACTTTACTTGTATTATTTAAAAATAGATTATAGCATTTTCCCAATGATCCCTGTAGTAAATGAGTGATTTATTTATGCTTATAGTCAGTTTATTTATTGAATCATTAATATTTAACTTCCAGCTCCTCCAACTCAGCCCCTCTGGAGAAATCCTAATTCACCAGACACGAAAAAACGAAGGAAGTTCCATGTCAGTCTGTACCATTCACCACTTGAGAGTGCCGTAAGCAGACGAGCACCATATGCATCAAGAACAAAGATTACAAGTGGATCAACAACATTACCGGGAAGAGAGTTTTCACCTGCAGTTTATAATTCACTGAGTGATCCTTATCTGAATGGATACTTTACAAGGAAGTTTGGCAGTGGAGATACTATTGAACTAAATAGATCTTCGAATAGACGAAAGGTAGGTAATAGCACAGCGCAACTGTGACATCATAAAAATGAAGACAAAGGCAAAATTTGGACAAACAAACTTACAAGTTTACTTTCAGCAGATAATTTTCACAGCTGATCACAATTGATCTTAGTTTACATGGGTCATTATTGTAACTTAAAGTAAAAATATATAGAATCGATTCGTATAATCCTCGTAGCAGTTAAACATAATGCAATGTTTGTCCAAATCTTTAAGCTATTTTTAGAATCAGTGCACTGCACTATTTATACTCATATTGACAAAATGATGAATTCATCAAATCTGAGCCTTCAGTGGTGAGAGATGAAGGGTAGTTCTGTCAATTGTAAAACTAAATGATTGTGCCTTTTTCCTGTACATGTAGACAAAACACAATGCAAGTGGTCAACTTAAAAAACAAGGTATGTTATTCATGTATATACCTAGCTTAATGCATTTAATTTATTATATACTTCTTACTTATACTGTACCTACAAGTGTCATTGAATATGAAGCACAGATTAAGGTCAGTTTGTAAGTTATTGTAAAAAGAGGTTTTTTGATGAGCATCTGCCCCCTGCAGGCATCCTATATTAGATGAGGAAAAAAGATTCCTTTACTCTGAAGAATACTTTTAATAGATATAAATATTTCTTAAGTAAAATGTTACCATCCATACATAGCTGCCATCATGGATGTAATTATATGAAACCTCCATTAGGGAAAAATGACCTTTACACCTTAATATACTTTAGGAGCCAATGTCTTGTATAAAGTTATTGTGAAGACTGGAGATAAGAAACACTGTGGTACAGATGCAAAGGTATGTTTGACATGAAAAATCATATAACTAGATAGCATTTTGAGAATTATATAATTTAAAATGTTTTGTTAAGTACTTTAATTAGAGTGTTGCATTGTTTTATGTCATCACACCTGCATGTTTTTTAATTCAAACATATTGATACAATGTAATATTAGCCATAATCCTGCATGTCTTTATATAGCTGCAAGTCATGCTTGGCTTAATTCCATTGTCTATGATCCAATTACATCCAATTTCTTACTCATTATTTTCTGTATTTATATTTATAAAGGTATTTTGTGAATTCTGTGGTGTGTATGGCAAGTTTAGAAGACAATTGACCCACCAAGTAGAGGCTGGTGTACCAGCAGCGTTTGTAGCTACTCTTCCTCCATTTGCCTTCACTGCAGGCCACAAGGATGTTTTTAACATCAAGGGGCCAGATGTTGGTGAATTTAGGCAAATAGTAATTGAGGTAGCGTAAAAATAAAGGATTGGACATTGATTAGTGTGCATCCATTGAGGTTTGGGCATGAAGGAAGCGTAGCTGAGTGCACCAAAACCTTAATGGATGCATGCTAATCGATGACCATTGCTCTTATAACATGGCAAAAGGGTAAAAAATCTATGTTAATCTAAAAAAATACAAAATAAAATTTTTCCTAAAAATCCTGCATTACATAGTGAACATCCTCAACTGACAGTGTACACCATCAATTTTTAGATGCACTCTAATTAACCAATCAGAGCCTGCTATATATTGCGGCTATGTTATGAAAATCCTTTACATTACTTTGAACTTACATTAAGTACTTGATTAACATTTATTTTATCATTTTTAAAGCATGATGGAAAAGAACGGAGACATAGTTGGTTCTTAGGTGAAGTTACTATCTCTAACAACAAAACGGGACAAAAGACGCTGTTTCCTTGTCATCAGTGGCTGTCATTGTATGAACATGACTGTCAAGTCAGCAGGAAACTGAAACCAGTTGTACATAAAAAGGCTGAAAGAACTGGTATGGCAAAAGTTTTAATATATGTGTAAAAAGGCCTTTGGGCAAGACTTTATGGGTGAGATGCCAGCTATCAAAATCAGCAAGTGACCCCCATGCCATTGTAACACTCATGAATAGTTATTATTTCCTTCTGAAATATCCTCGTTTGAATGCCATTCACGTTAATGTATTTTTTCCTGATTGGCTCAGTTGGCTGAGCATTTTACATTCATTTGGAAGGTTAAGGCTTCATATCCTCACTGGATCAACAATCAGGGTGCCTTTGTAATTGTACATCTATACATGGTCAGACCTTTATAGGACTCTGCTGAGGATGTCATGACTCAATACTTGCTTACCTTCCACTGGAAGAGTGTATAGACATATAGTATTACTCACTCACTTTATACACTAACTTTAGGTAATGATTATTGTTGTCTTTATCTTTGTTAATGTACAGTTTATGTGGTGGAAGTGGAAACTGGTGACAAACCCGGTGCAGGAACTGATGCACATGTGTTTATTACTTTATTTGGTAAAAATGGAAAAACTCCAAAAACACAGCTGATCAATAGGTAACACCACAGAAATATATGGATTTCATAAATTCATTGATAAAAATCGTTTGTGCACTTACTTAAGCTATTTTTTAGTTAGTGACTGCTGTCTAAAAGACAAAATGTGTGATTAAAATTGTTTAAATAATCTCTCATTTCTGAATTTTTTTTGAAACAAGGAATGAAGATACATTTGAAAGAAGAAAAAAGGATGTTTTTAAGATCAAGATAACAGAGTTAGGAACTTTAAAGAAGTTGACGTAAGTAAACTAAGAACCAAAAAACCCACTGACTTTGTTACATATATCTGGAATGGTAAATTACTATGATTCAATACATGGATTCAATATGAATCTATCTGACGACATAATCTATTTATTAACAGTCATTATCTTATTTTAGGGTTGAACATGACAACTTTGGATTCTCTGCAGGATGGTTTTTAAACAAGGTTTGAACCTGCATCTGATTTGGATTGTTTAGAGACACCACAGGCTATCTTTTTAGTTTCCTCATTTACATTTTATCTTTCACTTTTCTTTAAAAAAAAAGAAATATGACGGGCGCGCTGATTGGCTGTTCACGGCGTTTACGGTCGTTCAACATATATAATCTATAAAAGCAATTATAAAAAATAGAGCGTTATGAGTCTTGCGTTCTGATTGGTTGGGAGCGCATGCATTACGAGAGCACACAGCACACGCGCGCAATCTTTTTTGTCATTCGTATCCAAACTAACGGATACTCTAATTTGTACTTTATAAAAGTAAAAAAAAAGCTTGCTTGGTATTTTGTGTGTAGTTATACTAAAGTACTTGGGGATAAGCAGAAAACTCGAGAAGTGTCGACAAGCACTCCGCTACGGGTCATACGTCTCCTAAGCACACGCGCGCGTTTTCTTTTTCTTCAATACATAAGGCTGCTTATGTCTCTATCCTGTAATATAAACACGCAAGAGCTGTAGACAGTATAAAGGTGCGCCTCGTATTCCTAAGTTTGCTTCTCGTGTTATACAGCTCCCAGCGTGTTCATATCACAGTTAGTACAGAGACGGGAATATCTCGGCAACAAAAAGAAATATCGAAGAATAATAAACGACGTTGTTATATATTTCATGAGGGCTTTCAAATGAATAATGCATCCTATGTGGCTTATATGCACTTAACATATTAATGGTTTTCACGGCGGCCATGTTGAAGGAACTTAACAAAAGAATTGTTAATGAATTCTTTTGTTATATCCTCCAACATGGCCGCCGTGTCTTTTGTTATTTAATTCTCTTGGGAATGGTGGAAAACCATCAATACAGCGCGTTTTTTTCATTTCTGAACGGCTGTGTCTTCGATGACATTTTACGCGACTACATATTTTTGATGTGTTTGATTGACAGATCACAGTTTATGATCGCGAGAACCCTGACAAGAAGTATTACTTTCCATGTTATCAATGGCTGTCAAAGGATGAAGGCGATGGCAGAATCGCACGTGATTTAACAGCAACGACTGATTCTACATCCAGTCCAGAAGGTAGAACAGAAACCAGTCAGTTACATGTACCTTAGTTATTAATATCTGTGTGTGGACCATTACAGTGTGTAACGTATGACACAAGCTGCATGTAACATTGCCTAGTGTAATATACCATGTCGTTTTTCTTCGTGTGCATATTTTTTGACGAAAAACAATAAATTTGAACTGAAAAAACACAATTCCAATAACGCAGCAGGCCTGAAGGCGAGGGGGGAGGGGGGAGGGGGGGGGGATAAAAGTTCGTTTCTACATGTACTTACTGTCACCCGTTTGCTGATAGGATTCACATACCTGGTTCATACCTACACTGGTGACCGTCGAGGGGCTGGTACCGATGCAAATGTATCTATTACTATATTTGGAGAAGAAGGAGATTCTGGGGAACACAAGCTAGACAATGCAAGAAACAACTTTGAACGAGCAAAGTAAGTCGTATATTTACATATATCAGCACGTGACTCTGATTCCAATTATCTTTTGCTGGGTTTCAAGTCACGTCTCGTAGAATTCTTTCTAACTGACAGCAACTGGGGTAATTAAGAGGGACACTTCTGTACATTTTTGTAATATATTCTTTTTATTACAGGAAAGATACGTTCAAAATACAATGCGGTGCATACCTTGGTGCTCTAAGTAAAGTTCGTATTGGTCATGATAATAGTGGGTTAGGACCTGGCTGGTTCCTGGAAAAGGTAAATAACCATTGACTTAATATTAAGTAGAGTTATCCAACTACGTAGGATAGTAGCCATTGTAGCACATAGCAACTTTAGGATTCAACTTGTAAGATTTCTCATTTCTTCATAGGAAGGAACTCATCGGTAGACGTCAATCAAAATGTTTCCATGACGTAAAGACAAACATTGACATTGTCGAGAAACACAGCATTTTTATTTACATGTGCTTATGGAATGTCATGGAAACGCCTTGATTGACGTCCACCAAAATCTAGTTTGTTATGGCAACGTTTTTCTGTGTGCCAATGAGAATGCCTTACACATTTTCTTCTTTCAGCTAACCATAGAAGATTCAAAAACGGGCCAGATGTACGACTTCATCTGTCGGAGATGGTTTTCGAGAACAGAGGATGATGGGAAGATTTCTCGAGAACTTTTACATGGAAGTCCAGAAGACATGGCCATGGATACTGGTACGTATATGTATATGTGATAAATACCATGATGCATACCAATAATGATCAGACATGTTTTCTGGTAGATCGATTGACCGTGTTAACAATTGTCCTATCGTCTTTAGGTATTCCATATGAGATATCTGTARCTACTGGTGACAAGCGAAACGCTTCAACTGATGCACGTGTGTATGTAATAATGCACGGTGGAGAAGACGGGTCAGAAAACAGTGGAAAAATATGGTTAGACAACGGCAAGAAAGATAACTTTAAGCGTGGACGGACAGACAATTTTCACTTGGAGACTTCAGCCATGTTAAGTCCACTTCATCACTTAACAATTGGTCACGATAATTCTGGACTAGGTGCTGGCTTCTACTGTGAAAAGGTTAGTACCAGCACAGAAAGCCCAATTTAGAAAAGAAAATAGTGTTAGGCGAAGATAATATCGGTGAAAAAAATCCCTTTTGGATTTTTCTGTATTTAATTTATTTATGCCAACACAGCGTCCACCATAGCACGAGTGGGTTAAGAAAGCAAAAGTAGAGTACAATATTTGTTTTGCTATATAGTTTCACTAAGGTGCACCATTAGTTACCAAAACCCATATTCTTTAGCGGTAATGTTTGTCTTTGAATCAAGGTAAAATTCAAAGTTTAAAGAACATGAAACCACAGGGTTCCCACTTATCTATTCAGTAAACTCGATACCTTACGATACAGGTTGTCGTCGACTGCCCCAGTAGTGGTCATCAACAAGTTTTCCTGTGTCAAAAATGGTTGGCGGATGATGAAGATGATGGGTTAATAGAACGAGATCTTTATGAAAGTGAGGACATGAGAATCAAGAGAAGTCGAAGTATGTTTCCTATTATTATTATTATTATTGTTGTTTTCATAGCTGGTGCCACTTGCACTCACCCATGCTAACAATACATTCAATCAATATTCTACGTTAAATTCTGAAGGGAGAGAACAACACATCAAAGTCTCATAATCCATCATCATCATCCATCATCATCATCAACATTCATCGTCATCACTCATCATCATTAGTAACCATCATTTGTCATCATCATTAGTAATCATATCATCATCCATCACCATCATCCATCATCATCATCATCACCATCATCAACATCCATCATCATTAGTCATCATCATTCATCATCATTGTCATCATCATCATTTATCATCGTCATCAGTCATCATCACTTATTCATCATCATCATCTTATTATTCATCAAAATACACTCAAAATAACGTACCATGTACTCACATTATATTATCAGAACACGTCTGGAATGTCTGGGTTTGGACGAGTGATGTTCGTGGGGCGGGGACAGATGCAAATGTCTACACTRCCATATATGGCAACAAAGGCAAAAGTGACGAGATTCGATTGGGTAACCGCACTGACAACTTTGAAGAAGGACAACTAGATAAGTTTAAAGTAAGTTAAACATAAAAGACCTTTGCGTGAAGTCCCACTGTTTTTGATCAGTTACTCATTAACTCCGTATTCAAAAATTCACAAATACCAACGGTAAAGTGAAGAACGCACAACTTCAACAAAATAAATGCTTTAGAATTCCATGGAGTTTGTTGTATACTAAAATGTTAGCCTCTGGCTTGGGAGACTTGGCAACGAATCCCCGAATATGACGACTGACTTCAAATCTGTAACACATGTTATTTAGGTATGACTACCTTTGTAGACTTGGTGGAGATTCAAATGCAACAAGGAAGTGGAAATCATTATTCTTTAACTGTTTTCACAAAGGTTTTGTTTTGTTTTGTTCAAGGTTGAGCTGCCTGACATTGGTATACCATATAAACTAAGAATACGTCATGATGACTCCAATGCATTTCCTGGCTGGCACCTGGAAAAGGTATAGTTTAACTCCATGAAGGGTATGTCCTTCAAATGTTATCTAGAGCACATGCGCTTTGCCGCTGAAATCGTTGTAGCGTAGGTTAACAGGACGGTTCACAGCACACTAGAGCCTAGAATCTAGCCCTTGCCTAGTAAGTTCTCGTAAGAATTAAACCGATACTCTAACAGATTCTAATTTCCTTTTAGATTCAAATCCAAGAGGCTAAAAGCGGAGCTAAATATTCATTCAAGTGTAATCGATGGCTGGCAAAAGATGAAGATGACAATCAAATCATACGAGAACTACCAGCTATTGGGAGTGATACAGAAACTTTACCAGGTAATGACACCTGTCAATCATAACCTACTGACACATACACTTTTGACACTGTCACTATTTCCAACAACACCTGTCAATCATACCCTACTGACACCTGTCAATCATACACTTTTGACACCTGTCACTCTTTCCAATTTAGATAAAAATGAGGGTTAAATATATGATGTTCGACTTCTTTGCAGTGCTGAAGTATCGTGTATTCGTTCATACGGGTGATAAACGAGGTGCTGGTACAGATGCTAATGTATTCATCAATATATTTGGTGAAATGGGCGACACAGGCGAAAGACTACTTGAGAAATCCATCGACAATACGAACAAGTTTGAAAGAAATCAGGTACAATTCCCATGGTGCAGTCGACAAACCACTTGCTCCAGTATCGCAGGTTGTACGGGAGGTCGTGGGTTCATGCTTTCAGATAAATACTCTCAATGGCAGCCCAATCTTAATTAACCCTGGCAGTGAACACCTTTAGTGCTTATAACCTTGATCATTTACCAATTATCATTGATAGACTGACGAGTTTGAGATTGAAGCAGTGTGCCTGAAAGATTTAAAGAAGGTCCGCATTGGCCATGACGGTAAAGGGGCAGGATCAGCGTGGTACTTAAACAAGGTAGTCATAAAAGACCCTGAAGATAATACCAAGGTGTTTCAATTTCCTTGTGAAAGGTAAGATATAATTAAATACGATCTTTTCCACGCCCATGTTATTGGAAATTAGCCGTCCTTGCCGATCAGATATTTCTCAAATATAGTTATCTGTTGTGACCAAAAATGATATTTGACGATCTTCTCACTTTATGTTGCACAGATGGCTCGCAAAAGACGAAGATGATGGTCAGACAACTAGAGAACTGCTTTGTGGCGAAGCTAGTCTGTTAAACAGTGAGTTTAACTTTACTGTTTGATATCATATGTGCAACTCTTTTGATGAGAAATGTGGAGAATATAAACTAACGCCTTGTCCCATTTCAGACCACGTGTCATTCCCTAGAGTATCATTGTTTTCTTTGAATATGGATGCAACTCAAACAAAGAATCTTATTCTCAAGAGAATGACACGTTGTCTGAAATGGGAAAACATTGCGGCCGAGGTAAAGGTCTATCAGAATTTTGGTTTCATCTGTATCATAAACACTGATGTTTCTTGCAGCTACGTCATATTTCATATCCGTTCGTACGGGAGATGTGATTGGTGCAGGCACCGATGCTAATGTCTACGTGCTCATCAAGGGAGATGAAGGCGACACTGGAATATTGAAGCTACGGCGAGCAAATAACACGAAAAACAAGTTTGAAAGAGGAAGGACCGATCAGTTTACTTTGGAAGCTGTAGATATTGGCAAGGTAGGATGCCAGTATTGTCTGTTAAGATTGAGGCATAATTAATAATCTAAATATCGCGGGGCACAAACTCTATGGCCCACAGAACAAGTCACAAGTTGCCATCCAAAAACCTAGATGATAAGTTGCACGTATAATACCACAAAATGTGGCCGCGTGATGACACTCGGCGCATGCTTTGCGCATGCTCAAATGGAAAACTGACGAATTTCTTCAGAGGTTCCTTCCTTAATGTTAATACAAACAAAAACAAAAACCACATTAAAAAAGGACGAAAAGAGACCTCTGCTAGCAGGATTAGCTTCAACGACCAAACCTTAACCTTATATGTAAACTTGCCATTTCAATGACTATGCACACTGCAATAAATACTAATTGTTTTTGTCCTACAGGTAGAGTCTTTGCGAATAGGTCATGATAACAAAGGTGGTGGAGCAGCATGGTTCTTAGAGGATGTCACTATAGATGTGCCATCACGTGGTGAACGAGCTGTTTTTCCTTGTCACCGATGGCTGGCGCTTAAGGAAGACGATGGCAAACTTGAAAGAGAACTCTATCCTCAGTTCCAAGATATTAGCTCAAGTAAGAATGCTTTCTCTAATATAATGTTAAGCTGATTGTCATGCCACGTTAAGGAATGCACGACTTCACTGGAACACGTAAAAATATTACACAAAATCTGAACTAGATATTTCTATTCTGGAGACTCAAAATGAAAAGTTACTAAATATGCCCAAACCTTCCTATACTCATTCCGAGGTTTTCTCTTTTTCTCGAAAGAGATCCCGTATGAAGTGGTCGTGTATACGGGTGATGTTCGAGGTGCGGGAACCAATGCTAATGTGGCTTTGGTTTTGTATGGTGAGAACGGAAAATCTGAAGAATTCAGTTTACGAAACAAGTCAGACAACTTCGAGAGAGGTCGCATAGATAAATTCAAGGTAAGACATCCATTCTTTCGTACTTGAAGAAAATATCACAGGAAAGCCTAACGTAGAACGACCCTTTGTCGTTTTCGTTTTCCTAGTAATAAAGTGTAATTGTGGCTCGGTTTGTAAAAGCGTCGGTCTGTTGTGCGGTTGCCCGTGTTTTCAAGGGACCAACACTCAGGGTCTTAAAATAACTGGGGAAAATTGTGCTGTCTTTTTAATTACATCTGCAAATGGTTAGACTTTCAAGTGGCTCGGATAAAACTAGGTTTAAAAATATTCTTTCTGGTCATTTCAGGTTGAAAGTGACGACATTGGTCCCCTGACCAAGATAAGAATAGGACACGACAATACCAAAATGGGCTCTGCTTGGTTTCTTGACAAGGTAATAGGCATATATATACTGTAGCTAGTTAGTACACTAGAAACGGCGCTATGGAAATCGTACATCATATTATGGCTAACCTCAAGGTTTTCCTATTATCATTGTCTGTTTGAATGATGTTAGGTCGAAATACGAAGGCTGAAGAATGAAGACGAATCCAAACAAAGATCTAATAGAGATAAGGATCAAAGTCAGTATGATTACTTGTTTGTGTGCAATCGCTGGCTGGCAAAAGATGAAGATGATGGGCAGACGGTACGAGAACTTGTACCAATGGACGACACTGGAACCAAACCACGCAGCAGCTCACTGGCTGGTAAACAAGATATGTTTGTTGTATGTTTATTATGTAAATGAAGAAATAGCTTTAAACCTTTGAATGTTATCGATGCCCGGAAACAACCTCTGGGCTGATCTAAGTCGGGGCATGGCTAACTCACAGATCAAACCCTGAAACAACCTATGGGCTGATCTAAGTCGGGGCATGGCTAACATACAGATAGAACCCTGAAACAACCTATGGGCTGATATTAGTCTGGGCGTGGCTAACATTGTCGAATGTCAGCCATTTAATCCCTCGCCTTCTATATACCAGAAAACGGCTATCGTATTCATGTGCACACTGGTGATGTACTTAACGCGGGAACCAACTCCAACGTCTTTATCACTCTGTATGGTGAACTTGGTGATTCAGGGGAGAGAAAACTAGATAAATCAGAGACGCACTTGGACAAGTTTGAAAGAAACAATGTAAGACACTGCTTGAATGTTTGTTCTCATATTTGATGATATATACATATGACTTCTCTTTTGCATAGCAGTCAATTGATGTGTTATGTATTCTACTCTTTAGGAGGACATCTTTACACTAGTTTGTGTCAATCTTGGTCCATTAACAAAAGCTAAAGTACGAACAGACAACAGTGGTCTAAAACCAGCATGGAACCTCGACCGAATAGAAGTTGATGACAAACTAGCAGATAAAACCACTGCATTCCCGTGTGGTAGATGGCTGGCAACAAGTGAAGATGATGGCCAGATATGTAGAGAACTGGTAGCAGTTGATAATGAAAGCTTTCGCCTTGAACGACAGCGATCAATGAAACGTAAATCAGGATTGGGAAGAAAGACAAGTCAGGTTTCTCTAGTTGATGGCGTTGAGCTCGAAAACAAAGGTATTTTATTGGTTTAACTGACTTACTGTTATCCCCGGATGTCTTACCTATTATCATTACGTTTATATTTTATAGCACGCATTAATACCTACAAGGTAACCGTGGAAACGGGTGACATTCAAGGTGCAGGAACTGATGCTAATGTGTATATAGTCATGTATGGTGAAGATGGTGATACAGGTATAGTAGTATAGTGTACTAACCTTATTCATTATTTCATCGTGGCCTTACTAATTCTTTTTACGTTACCCAAGAGTGTGATATAGACTTGTTATATTCCCATTTCCATTCTTTCTTTGATACTGTCAGGCAAAATTCCTTTGAAAACCTCGCAGACCAATAAGAACAAGTTTGAAAGAAACCAAAGTGATGTTTTTCAAATAGACGCTAAAATAGGGGAAGTCAAGAAAATAAGGTGAGTTGCACCCATATTACTGCACGTTAACATGTGATAGGCAGGCTAGACGTGTACATTCAGCTATGTTCTAGCCATAACCCTTGTGTAATAAGCTATTACAATAGTCATCTTTGTGTCTTGTAGGATTGGTCATGACAATAAAGGAGGATTCGCTGGATGGTTCCTGGATAAGGTTACGATTGATGTTCCATCGCTTGGTCAGAACGTCGTGTTTCCTTGTGGACGATGGTTGGACAAAGACAAGGATGACGGGCAGATAGAAAGAGAATTGAGCATCGCTGGATCTACGGCTCAGATATACAGACCACGTATGTAGTACAAATTAACCGTGTTCAGCAGTAGCAGTAGCGACCAGTTTTTATCGATTTTGGTGGTGGGTAACGGTCATTATATCCTCCGATTTAACACTGCTCCCGCGACCAATCAGACAGCGAGAAAAGTTGCATTTGTGGTAAACATTGTTTAGCATACATGCAAACAGGAGGTATACCAATTTGTTCTTTCTGCGATTTACGTAGTTTTGGAGATATTTGAGTACAAAATCCAGGGTCTCACTTCCAAAGAGACGGGTCCCGTAAGATGACAATTATTGTCACCTTATCCTTTACCTGAGTCCTTGAATATTTGTGTTTGTCCTTATAGATGTTCCCTACGAGATCACCGTGTACACCAGTGATATAACAGGCGCAGGCACAAGTGCTAATGTCTTCATAGTTCTATACGGTATCGAGTGCTCCACCAAGGAAGTTGTTCTTGCAGACACGAGCAAGAAAAAGAAAGGCACTTTTAACAAAGGATCCGTCGATCAATTTGTTAAGGAGGTCAGTATTTGTTTCTTGGTTTGAATCGTCCTTGTTTTACGAGGGTAGTACTTTTAAATAGCCTGGATAATTGGCTAACAAACCCGTGGCTCTCTTTCCATGATGGAATTGGGATTAAGCATGTTAGGTTTTACGGAGGGAGAAAAACCTTCGAATCAAGGGAGAGACCTAACAAACTCTACTCACATGTGATGCAGAGTCCAGGGATTGAATACGAGACCCCAGAGGCGAGAGGCAAGTGTACTTCCACTACGCCATTCTTGGTATTTTGGTTGGTGTGTCATTGGCTGTCTCCGTTCATTTGTTTGGAAAATCGGTGACTTTTTTGTCTTTTTGTTTCATAGCTTGAAGATGTTGGTACTGTAATTGAGAAAATTCGCATCGGTCATGACAATAAAGGTTTTACTCCAGGATGGCACCTTGATAAAGTACAAATACGACGACTCTGCGATGATGATGGTAGCTCTACTACACATACGTTCCCCTGCAATCGCTGGCTCGCCAAAGATGAGGATGATGGTAGTCTAGTTCGTGAGTTGGTGCCGGAGAAAGTCATAGAAGAGACTGTACGTGAAGATGGTCAAACAGAAACAAAGGAGTTAGATCAGTACACGCTTGACGGTTAGTACTTGCTGCAATAACGTTACTCATCAGAAAAATACTAAACTGAAACTGCTGAGGAATATGCGAAACATTACACATCCAACAAGTAAAGGCTTTGATACAAAATGAAGGTGAAGGTGAAGCTGGTGAAATATATCTACCCACAATCCTTGATTACTTTAGCTTTGGGGCTTTTTTTAAGTGACGAGTTTTATCGTAATTAGAATGGTGCTTTATGGTCACTTGAGCTATTTTATTCAAGTTTATTGCTTTATTACTACAGCTGGTTAAGTATTGGAGGTGGTACAAGAGGTTCATTCCTCGGTTGAAGCAACACCCAGGGTCTTAAAATAACTGAGGCGAAGGTGCTGCCGTTGTAAAATATTACATCTACAAATAGTGGTTAGACTTTCGAGTTGCTTCGATGGCCACGTAAGATGTCGGTTCTCTTTCTACATACTCTAGTTACCACTAAAGACGTATTAAAAGAAATCCGAGCAGTGACCCTCAGAGTTACACCTCATACTAACCACCTCTCATGGTGGTATATATATCATAAGTGTTCAWTATATTTGTGATTTATACATGTTATCTGTGTCCTGACAGTTCGAAAGTACGAGATCCATGTCTTTACTGGTGACATCAAGAGTGCTGGAACAGATGCTAATGTATTCATAACCATATTTGGCGAATACGGAGACACAGGAGAGAGGCAACTAAGCAAATCATCAACGCATACTGATAAGTTTGAAAGAGGGCACGTGAGTAGCTTATCAAGATTATACATTAGTCTAAGAATATCTTTAAATGGTTCGGATAACGACGCAAAATACCTGCCAGCACAGGCTTATGCGTTTTCGCGGTTTCAAAAACCATACTTTTACGATGTGTTTTGGTCTTGCGTCCACATTCAAACCAACGAAAACGCATACATATGAAAACGAAAACATTTAAAATGGTGATGTCAATTCCACCAGCACGTCTGTTTTGAGCCAGCTAAGATGACGATCATTTCCGATTGTAACTGCGTTTTTGAAAATTTGTGTGAACACCAAGCTTTTGATGCACTTTTGGTGGTACGAAAATGGAGTGTTTGGAAAAGTCCGCATTAGTGTGGACTTGACCTTAGAAGACTTATTTAATGTAGCTGATCAATGTTGATGATGTTGATGATGCCTCACTAACGTTACTTTTGTTGGCTATTTATTCAGGAAGATATTTTTGTAATCGAAGCAGCAGAGTTAGGAAACATACACAAGATACGATTACGTCATGATAATGCCAATATCAACGCGTCGTGGTTCGTGGATCGCGTCGAGATAAGAGACATAGAGACAGATAAACTTTATCCCTTCATTATCGAGAGATGGCTGTCTAAAAAGAAAGAAGATCAAAAGATTGAACGCACGTTTTACCTAAAGGGTTACGAGGTAATTATTTGCTATCAATGTTATATTCAACATTGTAAGCTAATGATTTGCCTCGTGTCTATATAATATCGAGTGCTCTTTCCATTTCTTGGGTTCATTATGACACAACCTTTTGGTTGAAGCGTATAGTGACTACTTATTACCGTTCCCTGAAGTCACTATTAGAGAGCATTCATTACGCAGCATTCAGATCAATAATATATAATGCTTTTTTTTTCACCACAGGGTGACCGGTCAACTCTTGGTGCTACGAGTCTACGGTCTCTAGGTAGAGATAGCCCTCGTTCGTTAAGCCCACGATCCTCTCCTCGCAGTAGCCCTCGAAGCTCTAGACTTTCGTTTCGTCAAAGCAACGAAGATCTTGTTAAAGCCGTTAGAAGTGCTACAGCTGATGCGGCGTTTGCTCAAGAATATGGAAAAACGGAGGAGGAAGCTGCTTCGTCGAGATCACGTAAGAATATTGATCCAACACAGGGTTCCCACTGACCTGGAAAAGTTAGGGAAATTTATACATTGATTACGCAAGAATAGAGAATTTTGTATTTGTCAGGAAAATTACAAGGATGTGTAGAAAGCCAGGGAATTTTTTTAGCCAGCAAATGTAAACAAAAGAATGGGCTTTCTAGGGAATCGTGGACGAGAGGCGCCTGGGGTCATACATAGCACATATCATGGGCTGGCTTACCTGTTTATCCTTTGAGGAATTCGATCCCAGGACCCGCCACTATATTTGGGTGCAGTTGCTTGTGGGTTCTTTCTCGTCCTTCAAGAGCGTTTCTCCAGGTTCTCCGGGTGCTACCCTTGTAACTATCTGTTTGACGTATTGTTCTAGAGATCCCTTTCACAATACGAGTAACCACTGGTGACGAGGCCGATGCAGGAACAGACGCTAAAGCATACGTAGTGTTGATTGGAAACGAAGGTGCATCGGATAAGATTTCCCTCGAGCTGGTTCAAGAATCCAAGTTTAGCCCTGGTATAACCGAGACTTTCACTGTAGAAGCAACTGACGTTGGCAAGGTAACGAATACCATTCTAATAATGACCATACCTCTGTTAAGCGGACACCTTGCTTGGTGTTTGCTGAATAGAGGTTTGTTGTATACAAAGAACAAGCCACTTCTACGCTAATGCTACTTAGTAAACATTCATGTTCTAGAGTTTTTGCCCAGCCACAAAGGTTGTGTCAAGTATTCTCCTCATCCCTTCGTCTCTTATAAAAGGATATTACCTTCCATGAACGATTGTCGCAATACTTTCAGATTAGCAAGATTGAAATAGGTCATGATGGTTATGGTCCATCATCTGGATGGTATGTTAAATACATTGAAGTTGACGTACCTACCATGGGGGCTAAGTACTTCTTCCCATGTAACCGCTGGCTGTCACGTGACAAGGATGATGGTAAAACTGCCCGGATGTTATCAGCAAGCAGCGATAAGTTAATAACATATAAACCACGTAAGTAATTAACTAAACCTTTTATGTAAGGAAAAAGGTTGGTTTTCTCCTGATAAACATCCGCCTCCTCATCTCTTGGAAAGACGACCACAGGCAGAAGAGAACATTAATATCTGTTGACCCATTCTTCAATTCAAACACTTGTTTTTTTTCTTAGATGTACGATATGAAATGACCGTGTACACAGGAGATATCACATCTGCCGGCACTGATTCCAACATTTTCTATAATCTCTTCGGTATCGAGGGAACAACGCCTGAAATGAAGCTGGAGAAAGAAGAAAGTCGTTTTGAACGCGCAAGCGTGGACAACATCCCAGTTGAAGTAGAAGACGTGGGGAAACTGGTTAAGATGAGGATCCGCATTGACGGTACTGGTAACAGACCAAGCTGGTTCTTAGAAAAGGTATTAATATTTTGTTATATTCAAAAGATATTCTCGTTTTGAAGTTTTGCGTTCAGTCTTTACACTGTGCAACTTATTCCTCTTTTTTTTTGCGTTATAAAAAACAGCGCGTGCAGTTACACACCGATTCAACACTGCCGTTTGTGAACACCTTTTTTAATGACGAAAATGATATGTTTTAGATTCTTTTGAGGAATTCCGATACAAATGTCGTGGATACGTTCGTTTGTAATCAATGGCTGTCGAAGGAAGAAGGCAAACTGGAGACAGAAATACTATGCGAAGAGGCGACAAAAACTTTAAAGAGTAAGTATACATCCGTTCATCACTATCAGTCGAGCTTTAGACTGATTTCCTAGTAAAACTGATAGTGATGACATTTTTCTGAATAAAGCTGATTTTTTTTCACTATGGAAAAGAAAAATCTGTTGCAGTTTTAAAAGCTGTTTTCTTCCACTGGTTTGCAAGATGGCTATATATTGTATTAATCTCTTATTATGTCTCCTCAGAAACAACTTACACAATTAACGTAAAAACAGGCGATGTGAGTGGTGCTGGCACTGATGCGAATGTTTTTATCATTCTCTTCGGAGAAAATGGTGACTGTGGAGAGCAGCCCTTGAAACACTCCGAGACACACAAGGATAAGTTTGAGAGAAATCACACAGATGTCTTTAAACTGAAGAATGTGTATTCGTTAGGTTAGTATACCTGGGGTGTGGCTGGAATACCAACGCGAATATAGTTTTGTCAATACGGCCAACTACCATCACTCAATTTTGTTATACGAATAAAAAATGTAAAAAATGAAAACAAAATCAGAGAAAAGAATTTTGAAAGCCTTTTGTCCAGAATGACATAAAAGCGTTCTTTAATGAACGAGAGGCTAGTTAGTCCAGAACAATAGTTATTCAATTTAGTCACTATATTTGGGTTTATGAGGTATGTTTTTCGTGATTTTATTTTTCATCTTTCACTTCTATCTAAATTGGGCTCCCTTTGGTTACGTCTCATTCACAGGTCAGTTAACTAAGGTTCGCATTTGGCACGACAACAAGTTTCTCGGGGCCAGCTGGTTTTTGGAGACAGTTGAAGTGGTGGATGAAACAACAAACAACACTTATCAGTTTCCATGCAATAAATGGCTGTCTAAAGATAAAGATGACAAGAGTCTAGTACGAGAAATACCTTGCTCAAGTACAACAACAAACGACAACCACTCAACAAGTATGTGTTCAAATAATAAGGGGAAATACATTAGGGATAGAGTCAAAAGGGGCGTGGGAGTATCAATAAATATTGGTCCCTAATTTGGACCACTGTTTTAATCTTGTAACTTAGATACTAATTATATTTTATTACTCTTGTTTCTAAATAAAAGAACTAATTGACCAATTCTATTGTAGCTTATGAAGTAACCGTGATTACAGGCGATAAACAATACGCAGGAACAACACAGAACGCATGGCTGGTTCTTGAAGGAAAAAACGGCTCGTCACAAGAATTCCTCATCGAAAATAGCGCAAGTACGAAACTCCTACGGAAAGGACAAACAGACTACTTCAAGTTCAAATCTAAGCCACTGGGGCCGTTGAACCTTGTTACAGTGGGCCACATAAGAAAAAGAGGAGGTGATGCTAAAGTAACTGGAAAAGAATCAAGGTGGTTCCTTCACGAGATTATTGTTCAAAACGAACAAACAGGAAAGTAAGTTAAGAATGACAGTATATAGAAGCTTTACACCATCGACAAAACTGAATTCTTTCTGATGTAAATCACATACCAGATTCAATCGTTCCTGCCTCCTGTCATGGATGCCTTCGCGTGGTGGTACAACGCCTCTAGTGGTTTACCATTTCAGACCACGTGTTATTTTCTAGAGAATGAGGTTCTTTGTTTGAGTTGTGTTCAGGAGATGCAGGGGCTCCATATGCAAACACGTCCAAGATAAAAACAAGATCAAATCAGACATATGTGATCACATACTAGTATAATATGCATTGTCTTGATGTAGAACACATTTATATGATAAAACTCTGTTCATTTATAGGTTCGTGTTTCCCTGTCGCCAATGGCTTCCATTGAAGGATAACAGAAAAAATGCTCTGCGTCTGGAGTGCAAAGAAAGCGAAAAACCTCGCATTGATGCATTAAGAGGTAACAAAATTAAAAGTGTTATAAAATACATATTATTATTATTACGAAACGACGCGGGCTAAGATATTTAGTGGGAATCTGTTCCTAATTCATCTTTCAGCTAAAAGCAATTTATATTCATTCCAATGTAGATCTTCAGCCAGTACAGTACTCCATAGATGTGCACACAGCTGATGTACCGGGTGCTGGAACCGACGCAAATGTTCACGTCACTATATACGGATCCAATGGCGACACAGGACGAAGACCTCTGACCAAAAAGTTTGTTAACTTATTTGAACGAGGGAAAACAGACAACTTTCAAATGGAGGCATTAGATCTGGGACAACTGACGCGCCTGCGTATTGAACATGACAATAAAGGATTGAAAGCTGGTTGGATGTTATCAAAAATAGACGTTACGAATCTCGCAAGTCAAGAGTGTGTGTCCTTTTCTTGTAACCAATGGCTTGATAAAAAGAAAGGAGATGGAAAGATTTGTAGGGATCTTTTCCCAGTAGCAACATAAAATGTCCTTTACCTCGCATTTGATCATAAGTCATCAAGTTTACGCGTTATAAAGAATTAGATTGTAATTAAATCAACAACTCTAAAATCGCAAACCGTTTTGAGTTTGGATAAGGGAAACTTTATTTATGGATATTTTAAGAATGATCTTTTTACCGCGAAATTTTTGTGGAAAATGGTAATATAAAGAATTGAAATAAATATATTTATTTACAGAACAAACGGTAGACAAACCTACGTAAAGAAAGACCGCACAAGTTTAAACCACTCATTTCAATACATTGTTTATTATGAAGGTCCCCATGGATTGAGGGCAGGTTCAATCGAGTCTGAAACAAAAAATGTTTCGTTATAAATTGTTATAAATATACTCGTATTCTGATTGGCTATGGGAATTTGTTTTGTGATAGCACACATCACGCGCGCAATAACGGCTTCTCTAATTTGTAATACATTAAAAGAAATAAAAAAACTCAATCGCTGTGTAGCGTGCAGTTATATAGAATAGATTGAAAGAACTTTTCTTAACACTTTACATTTTCTGTTGATCCCCAGGTGTTTTATACCTACACACAACATGCGTGCATGTTTTCTATTTAGTATATAGCATACATATGTATGTAGCCAGGGTCTCTACCAATCCCCAGGTGTTTTATACCTGCACATAACATGCACGCATGTTTTCTATTTAGTATATAGCATACATATGTATGAGCCAGGGTCTCTACCAATCCCCAGGTGTTTTATACCTGCACACAACATACGTGCATGTTTTCTATTTAGTATATAGCGTACATATGTACATAGCCAGGTCTCTACCAATCCCCAGATGTTTTATACCTGCACACAACATGCGTGCATGTTTTCTATTTAGTATATAGCGTACATATGTATGTAGCCAGGGTCTCTACCAATCCCCAGGTGT